GCGCTTCTCCATCTATCCTTCTTAGCTCGTTGAAGTTTGCCCTCTTAAAATCTAGGGCTGCTGCCTTACTGCATGCCTTTGCCACCTTGCGCTGGATGGAGAATTCCAGCAGGCGATGATTGCTGTCACCCAGGTGGTTGAGCACCCGCAGCCCCCTCACCAAGTCATCACCCGTGGCCAGCACCAGGTCCAACAAGGCATCCCCCCGGTGGGGCTGTGCACCTCCTGGGTTAGATGAAGGTCCTGCACACTGTCTAAGAAACTACGTGAGCATTCTGACCTGGCTGACTGCTCTTCCCAGCAGATGTCCAGGAAGTTCAGGTCCCCTGGTTTGTTAGGGATAATAATTTTATTTCCACCTCTTGCTCCTGTCAAATTACCGCATCCCTTTTCCTGCACACATAAAACGTAGTCCACAGGTACGTAGTATTAGTTCACTACAAAAGCATAACAGAACAGGTCTGTGCCCTGGACAGCCAGGATGCATATAGCAACATCAGCTGCAGTAAGTAGTGCTGCTCATGGTGGCATGGTCAGCCGTTGCTGTGGGGGCAGCGATTTTTGCACCCCTCTGTAAAGATAATGCCTGGGACTGTTGCCCCAGTCACCCCCTCTCGATTATGCTACCAATTCATTCTCACTGGTTTGGGTGGTTTGTGTAATGACTGAATTCCCATGGCATAAAAAGTAATAAAAATGAAATGCTGGACCAAATCCTGCTCATCTTGGGTGTGTGAATAGCTTCATTGGTCTTCAGGGAATACTTGTGGCATGGACGACAAGTAAGGGGTTTACAAGACTGAGTCACATATAAACAGCAGTCATCTCAAGAATCATTTCTACTGGCACCAAACTTTTCCATCTTGCAGAAGTGAGGGAATATTCTAGCATTGTTTATAGAGTAAGAAAATAAAGAGGAGGATAAATACTCAAAAACCCTAATTAAGAGGGGATAAGACTTACTCAGGCCTTCCCCTGAAGTCAATAGAAGTCTTTCCCCTGACCTCAATGGGTCAAGTGTATCCTGTTTCTGTCACCCTTGTCTGTCTTCTTTTAAGTCCTGCCTCATGTTGATCCATGACCTGCACTTTGTCATGTTATGTCACATTAAATTTTGACCAGGGTGGGGAGAATGTTCTTACTAGTTTTGTGAAGCTCCCAAGACAATTCAGGGCCCCCCAAAAATGATAGGTGATTTGAAAATTCCCCTGCTGCATCTTGGTCTGCATACTTTCATCTGCCTATCGGTCATATTAATAAGAGGTGCACAAACTTGAGGCATCTGATCAAAAAGATACCCACTGTGTAACTTTTTTCCATCTCTCACTAGCAATCATGGAATCACAAACTGGTTCTGTCTTCAAGTCTTGGACAACTGTTCAAAAATGATACTCTTATCTGTTTATTCTCCTTTATTCGGTTCTCCCAAAACATTAGACCCACTCTGGCCATCACTAGTTCCCTGAGATGTGTACAGCTAGGCATAGTATGAATGATACATAGGGCACAGCTTTCAAAACTCCTGTTGAGAATGACACATTTTTTGGCTTTCATCACACATTTTATCAACACCCTGATCATGATTCTGATTATGACAGTAGCACTAGAAGCAGCAAGTGGGATTAGTGCACCTTTGTAACAACCTTTGTTGGTGCAGTAGCAGCCCCTGCTTTCATCTAAATAGAAATATGGTAGAGGTATAATTAGCTCTGTGTTTTAAAGGCAGGCAGCTGACGTGCAAAAGATTGCAAGGATACTTTGTATGAGCCACAGGTTGAACCTTGAGCTTCTGAAATGCAAGGCAATGCCTCAGCTACAAAATCACTCTTTCTTTCCAGATAGAGGTTGATACAGAATACTAGCAGCACTTGGTCCTTCTGTAGCACTTCCCACTGGGACTTGCAAAGGACTTTACATATTTTAGTGGATCTTTACTCACTGTATATTACTTTAAATGGAAAGAGGTAAGGATTATTATCCTCAATGTATAGACAACAACACTGGGAGAGATTCTATGGAGATGACAGGAATATATTTGTTTGATGATCTCTCTTCCTGCTGGAGCAGGTTTGGATTTTATTATTTCTGTTCTTTTCCAACAATTTCCTGAGGCATCTACTCTGTGTCTGAGATGATGTCCCTTTTTAAAAAGAGATTCATTCTAAAATTGACCTTCTTTATTTCATCCAGATTATACTCACTACCTTCTTGATATTTATGCCCTTCAAGGAATTGTGAATAATTAAAATGTTGCCTTCATCCTAGCTCAGCCACTCTGCTATATTTAATACTTCTGATTTCTCCTTTGAATAAGTCCTTTAGTTTCCTAGTCAGTCTTGTAGCTGTTTTCTGAATTTGCTGTAATTTCTTAGTATTTTTGTAGTAAGGTAATGCCCAAAGCAGATGCTGCACCTGTTGTCATCCCAGTACTACCCCCATTAACCTAGTGGTGCAACTTTGTAGCCCCATGGGCTGGATAACCAGTGAGGGATCAGTGTTGGTCTGTGATCAGTCATGCGAGTCTGATCTGGCCACATGCCAGCCTAAATACATGCCACCCTGATCAAGCCATGTGCCAGCCTGATCATGTGTGCCCAGATTCCACCACATGCTGGCACCATCTGGTGTCCAGAGTCAAGTTATTTGGCTCATGGGGCTTACAACAGGTTCAGAAATTTAACATCAGGGGAGCAGCAATCAGTGCTGCCATTGCTTCCCTGCTGCCAAATTTCCAGAGCCTTGAGAAGTCCCATGGGCTGGATGACACAGTTTTGTAGGCTAGATCTGACCTGTGGTGTGGGGTAGAGCACCCCTAGTGTAACCCAGTGTTTCTGCCTATGCAGTCCTAAGTTGCCCAGTTTTTTCCACCTTAATATTACACTGCAAATGTATGTCTAATTTGTGGTCTGATAACACCTTACCTCTTCTGGCATCCCTGCTTTGCAAGTTTTTCCATCACAATGAATGTATATATGTCTTTCAGGCTATATATCCCAAGACATATTAAAAGCTTTCCTTTTTCCAAGTTGTACCATACTGTGAAGCACAGAGAAGTTAAAAACTATCTTTTCAAGGACATACATTGAGTCAATGGGAAAAGCTGGGGAGAGAATGATTGGCCCTGTGCTTGAACCACTAGACTATGTTTCTTTCTCAACTATATCATTACCAAACTATATTTCATACATCATAGATCATTACGTGTACCACAGCAGCTCTTTCTTGGGAAATGATGGGGTAAATCACAGAAAGAAGGAAGAAGAAAGAGGAAATGAACCAGTCAATGCCTACAAATTTCAAATTGCTTACTCCTCCATCCTTGACCAGAGAACCCACAGGGCAAGTGATCCTTCGTTGGTGAAGAGCAAAAACCATTTGCTACCAGGAATTTCTACTGAAAAGATTTTTTGTTCAAACTGTAGTTTCTTTTTCTATTTTCAAGCTCTTTCTGCTGTGGAGTAAGTTCAGTACTCTGGCTTCACCTCTGAATTGCAGACAAATGTGAATGCAGGATGGAAATGTACTGTTCCATAACTGAACAAATGAGATTAGAAGATAAGAAAGGAAGTGAAACTACGTTTCATTTTAAATAAAAGGGACACATTTTAAGTCATGGGTAAATGCAGTATGTTCAGAAGATAGTGGTTTCAAACAGTCTCTTACATAGGAAAAATTAGTGGATGTTCATGTATTATAAGTACTCTTCTGCTAGCATAGTTAGCTATTTTATATGCATAAATGTAGGTTTGGGGCTAGGAATTGAGGTCCTCACATCTGAAATTTGTTTTTGGAAGTATTAGATGTGACCTTGGATGAAGGTCAAATGACATCTCCAGTTCAATACTGACATCAGAAATGAACTATTTTTCTTTCAGAATTTGTTTTCTGTGGGTTGGTAGGTGGATAGATAGACAGATAGCATTGTCCTGAAAATCAAGTTTAGATTCATGACTTTCAAAGGGGATTGTTTATTTAAAAGATTATAGCACTGGTGGCAGGTTGAGAGTTACACAATGGCAGGGCAGAAAGGAAAGTTGGAAGCCTATGAAGTACTGCTGGTAACGAGAACCAGCAGGGCCCTGGAGGTTTGGAGAAACAAAAGATCTGGAAGTCTGTCCATGTGGGAGGATCAGTGTCCATCAAGGGGAAAAAGGGAATGGAAGGTCAGGTTGAAGCTATATGTACAAGAGAGGGGGCCTCCTTAACTGAATTTTAAATAAACTCAAGAGTTCAGAGCTCACTTTGTTTTGGTTGAAATTCAGATAATTTTTAGTGCTTTGTGAAATGGCACTGTTCGGTTCCGACTTCAGTTTCGAGGTCTGGATGGAATACTGTTTTGTGTTGAATATAATTTTGAGTCAAAACAGCCTCATTCTTGTGCTTTGTTGAAACAGTAAGGCTGTTTTGATCCTGTTTTGACCGTTTTGCCGATCCATGGGGCTGGGGAAAGGAACTTAGCCCAGATCACGCCAGGGGGTGGGGAGGCAGCCCAGCTGGGCTGCTTGCCCACCCCCTGCCAGATCTTGTGGCAGGGGCAATGGGAACCCAGCCCAGCTGGGCTGACTTCCCATCCCCAGTACTATAGTGGAAACATTTCAACTAGTCTCATTTTGTTTTGAGGCTATTTCGACAGCCTTTGTTTCATTTAGATTTTGCTGTTTCGACCTCTAAATTAGTCGAAACAGTGTCGAAACCTAAGGGCTGTTGAAACTTTGCACAGCCCTAGTAATTTTCTTATAATAAATAGTTCAGTTCAGCCCAGTTTGGGCTGCCTCGGAACAGATTTAATTTTCAAATCTCCATTTTTTTCTGATACAGTGCAAACAAATAGCAAAATGAGCAATTTGTAATTTATAGCTAGTACTTTTCAGTAATGCTTGGGAATAAGGAACATTTCTGATTTTACATCTGGACAACACCTAGATCTGTGGCCTCTGATCCTGATAGTGACTTTTAGATGGTGCTGTAATATAAATAATATGAATATTATCTTTGCTTACCATTGTATCAGTGTAGTCTTCAAGCTTTGCTGTAGGGATCATTTTTTTGTGTTGCAAAAAAAGATCTTTCAGGAAGTCCTATGATCATAAAAGAGCCAGAAAGAAATGGTGCAGGCTATAATATTAAGAAATGAGTCATCACTTGAGCAAAGTACCTAAAATGTTTTTAATTTTAAGCAAAAAAGTAATTCCATTGACTTCATCTTAATTTAACATGAGCTGAAAACATTTTATGTTGCTTTTACTTGCTGGGTTTTCAAATGACATATTAACATAATGATATTCTTTCACAACAAATATAATAGAACATTTAATTAGAAATTCTGCAGCATGAGACAAGCAGAATGTTTTGATATTAAATAATACCCCAAACTCCCATAATTTTCTAATCTAATAGGGGCCAAACTTTTTTTCGGGCATGCTACAAATTACATTTCAAGTGTCACTCTGATCCCCTTCCCCTACTAGATCTGCTGCTCTGCCTTCTGCTCCCCACATAATCTGCTGCTCTATTCTATGCTTCCTGCTTTGTGCTCCCTGCCTGATTTGCTTCTCTGCTTTCTGCTTCCTGCCTTATCTGCCACTATGCTACCTGTCCCCTTCTGATCTGCTGTGGAACACAGAGGGACTGCCCATGACAAGATGGCCACCCCTGTCCTAACCCATTTTAAATTACAGTTGTCATGATTCAGCAGTGCACTTGCTTTGTATTCACTTAAATCTGTGCTTAGACATATGCTGAAATTCCCACGCATGTTAGCCTCCAAATCAGGAGCAGTGTTGGAGTGCATGTGGTGCTGTACTAACCTGGCTACATTACTCCCAGTGTGGGAGCCAGTGGATCTCGAGTGATCGCAGCCTGTCTCAGTATGCACCTTACAGACATCCCCAGCATGACTTAAACACGTGTTTCAAGTTAAGCTTTGCTAACAAGGGGCAGACTTCTGGACATGGTTGATATGAAGTATTTGACTATATGCTTTCTTGTTTTGGTGTCTGAGGCAATAGGCTTGGCTTAACAATGACGTAAATGTTGGGACAAATCCTTTCCTTCCCCTGCTTTTCAGAAAGCTTTTCATAAACAGATCTAAACTGAGTTATGACACTAATTAATAAAATTAATTAATCATGTGGAACTGCAGTGTCTCTTTTAGCAGGGACAGGAATGAAGAGGCTGGACTAGGGATTGCACACATCCATAGGCCAGGGAGCCATGGTGTGTGGTGGATCTTCTCACAGCTGTGCAGAGGGAAGTTGGCATGGGTTGGGGAGAAGGCTAGAAGTATGGTCAGTAGATCTACAAATAAGAGGATACACTGGCTACTTCTGCATACCAGCAGAAGCAGAGAACATAATGGAGTCACAGTGACAGCACATGTGTTCATTGGTAATGTCGATTTCTACAGAAAGACTTTAAAATGCCACTTACCAATCTCATGAAAAGCCAGTAGAATGACTAAAGCCAATGGAATAGATCCACACTGATTTAAAATGTCCTATAAGTCAAACCCAAGGAGACAATTAGAATAACTTACTTTGAGCTCACCAGCTGAAATAAATCCACTGCTATCCGCATCATATTTGCGCCAAATCTAGGAAGGAACAAATTGGCAAGGCCTCAAATTAATCATCAAAGATGGTTATGCAGCTCATAAAGATCTATCAGTTCCACAATGTCCATGTAACTGTATTATTCAACACTTAATTTATTGTGGACAATATAAAATTATCCACACAATAATTTTTACATTAATTTACTATTATAGTAATGTGTATGATGGGCTGGAAAAAATCATCATCTGTTTAATACAGATATTCTTCTTATAAAGGAGAAATGTAGTCAGAGAGAGAAACTGATCAAAATTTCTTACCTCATTTGTACATGCAGTTACCATGGTTGCTCACTCAGAGTAGTAATTTGCCTGTGTAAATTATCACTTAGAGGAATAACTACCCATTTGTACTCACAGGCACCCAACTTGCATACAAAATCAGGATAACTGCATGCACGCGTTCACAATCAAGCCTTTGTAGTTGAGAATACATTGAAACTAAGAGTTTATATTCACTAATAACTTTAAAAAGTTCTCATGACTGGAGATTTTCCCATGGGAGCCTGTTGCTCAGATGTCTGGAAAGCAGCTTTACAAAATTCCATTGATCTCTTACCATATTTTTATGGGCAAATATTTTAGTGTTCAAGGATAACATCCATCATTATAAAGCACAAGCTGGTAGATTCTGTGTAGATAAATTTTGGGTAGATAATTTTTCAGGATAGTTCTGCAAAGCTGATATAGCAGGGGTTTTCAACCTTTTTGGGTCATTGTACCCCTGCGGCCAGTCGAGCATGCTGGTGGCATGGTGGCAGCAGAAATGCTGGAAACAGTAATGGTGCCTGCTGCCAAATACTCCCTGAGGCCATCACAAGTACCCCCAGAGGTACGTGTACCCCCAGTTGAAAACCCCTGTGATATCGAGTTTATGCACCAGCTAGCAACACCAAGAGTTGCTAGTGACAGGCTTCCAAAACTGTGCAAAATCTGATTAATTGAGACACTTGAGCATCCTCTAAATATATAAGAAATTCCTTGGGAGGCTTTGGGTTGCTAGAGAGGTTCCCATGAGACCTCCCTTGCTGCTGTATAGACTGTAGAAGAGAAAAGTGGGCATATGCCAGAGCATCCTTACACATCAGTGCACCCCAACTGATAGTGTGGCCTTCTGGGACTGGGGAGAGTCTGTTCAACTCAAAGAAACCTTCAGCCCATTCTAGGCTCCAAATTACCACGGAGGGATGGAGAGAGAAAGGGAGCGAGCCTGCACAACAAGGTGGCAGAAACAGTTTCCTGTCAGGCCCGTGCTGATCTATGCCAGGTTCACCTGGATTCATGAAGGTCCCATGACCTACTCAGGTCTCTGTTTACAGCTATTCTGTTAAGTGCAGCAGTCCAGTAACCTTTCTTCTCAGAAGGCATGGACTGATATCTGACTCTTTCATCATTATTTGAGAAAGTTTGCCAAGTGCAAGTATCTGTTTTGGACCTCTCTGGTTCTGTCTGCCCTATCTACAGTTATTCTGCTCTTTGAATAAGTCTCTTAAAATGTTGTTTCTTCCCATGATGATCACACAGCCTTCAGAAATAACACTATGCTTTCCTCACTGAGCAATATTCCATAGGAGTCCAAAAGACACCTACCACAATAAGAGTTTGCTAAATGCCATTCAGATGGGGAGTAACATGGAAGAAAAGATCAAGACACGCACCCGCATAAACTCCACGCTGTTGTCCAAGGGAGTTTCCCGCCGGAAAAGCAGCAGAAAATTCTCATCATCTGGCAAGATCATGTTTGCAAGCTAAAAAGGAGAAGTACAGATCAGAGTAAATTTCCATGACTAATGACCTCGGCAGAAAATACATGCAAACATGTTTCTATGGAAACAAAGCCCAGAACAAGCTGTTTGAAATTTACACCTACCTTGGCTAATCTTTTTTTTACCCCCATTATCTGCAATATGTCCAAGATGACCCAGTTACCCTTGAATCACTTCCCAATGTTACCCCTTTTCAGAAAAGTAGTGTTTTTTGGCAGTTACCTCTTGTATTTGCAAACGTCCATCTGCTGTGACATCGTAGGAGGACATGAACTGCTCTTTCATTCTCTGCACCTTTTCCTCTGTTAGGGTGTCCTATGGATTGAAACACAACAGACACACAAAGGCCCTGAGGGTGGTAGAATACAGTACCCCAGATTAAATTGATTATGATTTACAACTGCTCTTCATAACAGAACATGAATGCCATGTGCTCCCGGAGGCTGGGGGGGCACGATGACCTCCTGCAGGCAGCAGCGGTGCTGTCAGTGGTGGGAGCATGGCGGTGGCAAGCAGGGAGCTCCTGCAGGCAGCTGCAGCACTGTCAGCAGTGGCAGGGGAGGGGAGGGGAGGGGGGAGTGCTGACCAGCGGTCACTGACCACCTGCAGACACTGCCGGCAGTGGCTATCACGGACCACCCGCAGATGCTGCCGGTGGTACCAGCCGTGAGGGGAGGCTGGTGAGCGGTGACTGCACACTGGCACTGCTGACAGTATCAGTGGTGCCTTGTCACAGGGGGGGCACTGCCACGCTCAGGGGATGTGCATGCACCTGCACGCACCCCCTATGCATCACCAATGCTTCATAATAAGACTTCTAAGGGGAGGTTTACACCACATCCTCAGTAAGACCAGACATGGCATTGAAAAATCAGCCCTGCTCTTTGGCTGCCTACACACGTGCTTGGGGGTGAAAGGCGGCTGTTTTAATTAGAGCAGTTTCTGAACAGCTGCTCTAATTAAAACAGCTCACTGTCACATGTATTAAGCCCCTGTGCATTTCAAAATGGCTGTGGGATACTTTCTCTAAAACTCATTCAACAAGGTTTAATAAAGTGCCCCTGCAGCCATTTTGAAATGTGTGTGTGTGGGGGGGGGGGGGGCAGTTAATACACATGATGGTGAGGCAATGCTGAAGCATTCTCATTAGAATGCAAATGAGCATGTCTATAGGCAGACTTTGTGTTTGGCTCACAAATTTCCGTATGTTATATTACAGTTGGGTGTGGTCCCAGGCATGCTTGAGATGCTGGAGCCAGGGTATGTACTTGGAACTGTGATAAGCCATCTCCTCTGCAAAGTTGCAAGCTCAGGCATATTCACAGTGGATACTTGTGGGTGCTGCTTGTTTCTTGGTGATGTGCTCTGTCCTCATCAGGATGTAGTCGAGTCATTTCTTGAAGCTCTATGCACAGACACTAAGTTGGATGAATTTTAGAAAATAATCTCGTGCTTAACTTGGTGGCCAATATGCAGTATGATGGATGCCATGAGGCCAGGTCCTATTCTACCTGTTAATTTAGATACCTAATTGCCACCCTCTTCAACACTGCTCAAGTCTGTGGAAAACCACTTGTGCATTTATTTTTCTCCACCTTAGGCTTAAGACTAAATCACATAAAGTGGTGAGGAAGGTAATCTGCTCACCTTCTATTTTAACAGTTTTTCAGGGACACAAGCAGGGTGTCATAGGACCTTACTTAGATGCCTAAGTGCTAGAATAGGATCTGGCTTCATATCTGGCATCTGCACAACACTAAACGTTTCAGTGTCAAAATCTCTTTGGCCAGCTGGTCCTGCACTGCTGCTGGGATTTTGTTTTGGTAGAGTATTCCTCAAAACACTCCCCGAATCTCTGAACTACATCTTCATATTTTTTTCATTAGGTTATCTGTTTTAGCAGGCATCAGAGGTAGTGGAGCCCTGAGCCTGTCTGTCTATCACCCTAGTTTCTTATCATTATGACCAATGTGGTGGATTCCAGAACAAGAAATGCTTTCAAGTCCTGGAAATGTTTCTGTTAATAATAGTTTAAATATGTTTGTATCCTGTTTATGCTTTTGCATCTAGTGGCTTATGCCCACACTTTCTAGGAGATATGAGGAGGCCGGTATGTGCTTTGGCAGGTATTATACTAACTTGTGCACCAGTGTCCAACTTTATCTGACAGCATTCACCATCAGTGGTAACCTCTTTGAACATCTGGTCTGTCTGGGTTGCACGAGCTAAGACTATTTTGGTCAGAGAGCATTAGAAGGGATATACCTAATATTCAAGAGGAAATGCACAAAACTGGTCATTAGCATTTCTGTAGGATCAATGGCCTGTACCAGGGCTGTCCAACTAGTGGCTCTTGGGTTGCATATAGCCCACAAGAACTTAACTTATGGCCCTTGGGCTCCTGGTCTTGGAGCCAATCCTCCCATTGTTCTCCTGCTACTGCTGTAGGGTCTCTGGTTTCCCTCTCCCTCCTCCAGGTTCATGTGCTTGCTCCTACCCCATGCAGCACAGCACAGCACAGGACAACACAGCAGACATGTTTACATGGTGGCAGTGGGGGAGGTGCACAACAAGGAGGTACCTGCCATGTTGTGGGGGAGTCGGCACCATGTGGTATGTGACCCGTGCAGCATGTGCACTGGGGGACATGAGACCCTCAAGGCCATTCACACGTTGGACAGCCCCGTCCTATATGTTCAGACAAACTGAACTAGCAAGACAAACTGAAGAAGAAACATCCAATTACATCCATGCCCTCCCCTTGCTTAGTTTAGGCAGATATCACTATCTACCTACTTCAGGGTTCACATGCCTTCTTGAACAGTGGTTCCCAAACTTCACTGGCCCAATACTGAGCAAATAACATGTTTCAGGCAACTTTGCACTTCACTCTGCCTGTCAACCTGAAGAAATATGTTACTGTAGGATGCTAAATTTCCGGTGGCTGTGAGAAACATGAAATGGTCTCAGGAGCAAAATGCTGCCTTAGAGCCATGGGTAGGGGTCACTGGTCTCATGCATCCGGTTCTAGCCACTGTCTGAGACAGTTTCTCAACTGGCTGGATCTTAGATTTGATCTGGTACAGCAGTTCCTATGCACCTCTGACAGGTGGTCCTGGAAGATATTTGTTATGATATTTGCCAGGATGACTATTACTTTATAAATAGACAAGAGGAATATTACAGTCATAATCATTGGACAGAAGAGATGGGACATCAGTGCTCACTCCAGTCTGGGGTCAGACAGATTTAGACTTGTGATCTAAACATAGGAAAGACTGAGTACAGGGATGTGGATTAGAATCTGGGGAATCCTAATTCCTAATCCATACTAATTTTCTCTGTGGCCTTAGGTCAGTAATTTAACTCAAGCCCTGAATCTTTCATTCTAGCTTATTAAACATTTTGCAAGGTAACACTGGTTTGTGCTGTTTGTACAGCAACTAAAGCCAGCAGTGTATTACTGCTTTTAACTCTCACCTGAATGAATACTAGCTCACTGTGATTATTTGTAATAAGAATGCATACAGCTTGCATTTCCAAACTCTTTGGATACAATGCATAATAATAAGTAGTTAAATGATGATAATTTCCAGCTGCTGTAAAGTTTTACTAGATTTCCCTCCTAGACTGTCTGCAACAGTCAACAACAGTTGTTGTTATTGCAGAATAACTCCAGGACTTCAGTGAGTATAGACAGACTGGAAACACAATATTGATTAACTCCTCATGCTGAAGGCATTATGCTCACATATCTTTACACTTTTCTGTTTGCATTCTGACATCTTCCCAGAACCTAACACTGAACTACTATGGCATAACCAATACACTGTGGTCACCACTGCTTCTGAAAATATCCAGTGAACAAATAGTTTTGACTTCATGAGACTCTTCATATGGTTAAAATTATAAACCTGCTGGGTTTTTGCTTTATCTCCTTTCTCCTTTGTTGTCAACATCTCCCACATGTTTAGAAGCGCCCACAGTTTTCCAAATGCCTTTCATCTTTCACTAATAATAAAAAAAGATCTTCTTTATCCATTCTGACATCAGAACATAATTTGAACCTGGCTTCACAGAAAAAATGAGAGCTCACAAATGTTCACATGCATGAGAACACTATTGTCCTACACAGAAGTTTATGATAATGTAGCCAAGACAGGCCATTCTACATAGAAATATAAAGGCGAAATGTTAATCAATTATATCTTTTCTGTTTATAAATGTCGAGTCAAATTAATAGCACTCCGAGTAGAAAGACTGCAACTGCTCTTCTGGCCAGGTTCCATAAATCAATTCGTTATATGTGGGTGGGTGAATGGATGGATGAATAGGGCACTGTTAAACAAGTACAACACCGTTTTCTTTCACCACCACATTAAAACTCTTGTGCTATTTAAATTGCCTTCAGAATTCACCTTGAAGTTTCCCGGGCAGAACATTTCCCAGGCATTAGACAAACGTATCAGTCGTTAGCTTGAATAGGCTTGTGAAGTACTCTGAAATTATCCTCCTCCAGACCCAGTAGGGTAACTTATTTCTGAAACTATAATGATAGTTGATATTTGAAAAATGTGCTGTGGAATTCTGACTAGTCTTTTGTTATAAAAGCTTATTGTTCAGCATTGTTTCAGCTTTTAACCACTACTTCATTGATGGGAAGGAGAACTGTTAGCTGAATAAAAATAGGACTTTTTTTTTACTAGTTAGTCTGTTGGATAAGTCATGTAGATATGCAACACTTAGAATGGATGCAGCCATAGTCCCAGTTGATCTGGGTCCAGACATTCTCTATCACTTCAAACCTCAAAGCAACCCATTTGTGTGCACTGTTATTCTTTGTCTTGTTTTACACTATGCAACAGTAGTATACTACTAACCCTAATCAGAAATTATAGAGCAAAGGCAGAGTTGAAAATGTTGAAACAAGGTTTTTGACTAGTTGTACTCAAAGTAAAGTATTTTGCATATTGTAATTATATACACAAATAAAACAAATACCAATTTTCTGACTGCACATTACAATCCAAGGTGACTCCTATTTTTTGCAGGAGAAACAAAAACTTGTAGAAATTTTCAGAGAAGTGTTTGTGTTTTGTTCTGAGCACTCCTGTCTTCTAAAAAATATTGGGTTGAACATTACGTGTGCTGGTCTAGTCTATAATAATATTTCCATTTCCCTTAGTAACAAGAAAAATGTCAAAATCTGACTTTTTTAACGCTATGACCTAACTTTGGAACACTGTTTATTTTGCCAGCGATCTGGGGCAGTTGAGACCTGTCTTTTCCCCTCAAAGCGGGAAGGAGAAGATATC